GTAACTTAGCATAACGCGCGTTCACACTGGACGAGTGGCGCGACAGAAGCACCCGAGTTTACATGCAAAGTCAATGGTTGACGCGCGTAAAAGGCGCAGCAAACGTCCCGCGGCGCGTTTTGACCCGCAGGCGCAGCACGTCTGAGCGGCTGCAGCAGCACGTCGGGTTGCGTTTAACGCAGGGAGAGAGACACAGCGCTGATGATCACTCCTCTTAAAAACAGTTTATGACGCCAAAATTTAACTTAAAATGCAGAAATCTGCCGGCAGAATATGCAGTTTGGATTATTTAGATGAAAAAACACCTACCAGCTGCCGCGGTGAACCGCTGCTGAGGGAAGGGATCCCTACTTTTTGGCGCACCGCTGGTATGTGGGGGTCGGGAGGGGCTCCGACAGAATAACATTAGAAGGCAGGATAATAATCTGGATGAATCTGACTGAAACTGATTACGTTTTCAGGTGGGATTTTTCTCACTTAAAAACATATTAAAACTACTTTATTCCCACTGATCACAGCAAATATAGCTGCAAGGCAGAGAAAGGATAGTGAAGCTCCGCCCAACGCGCCTCAGACACACTTTTGCAGCCAGAGCAGCAAAGCTGCTTCAGCCGCGCGTCAGAACTAACTGGTACAAGCAGCAAAAATGAAGCAGCAGACACGATTTTGCTGCTTTTGCTGCGTGAACGTAGCATAACTGCACAAAGATTGCCACTGTGCTAGCAACGAGCATGCTTTTAACTGGGGGGTGTAGCAGTTCTCGCCGTAAAGCAAGACTGACTCTCACGAGACTTCTGAGCCTGTGGGTGCGGGTCGGTGCTCCTGCAGTTGCAAGTGCAGTATTTCCCCCACAGACCACCAGGGCGGCCGAGAATACCTTTGTTCAACCTGAAATGACTCATTTAGTCATCCATAACGTTATGGAACACATTAATTAACTGAAAAATGTTGCATAGTGTCCCTTTAACCATGCCTCCAAAGTTTTCACTATGACAATAAACTCCACAGCAGAACCCCTTGAGAAGGAAGGCTGTTCTTCCTCATTTCTATGTGCACGGTCTAGTGGAACCGATCCATGTTGGCCTTTGTATTTGTGTCCCGTAAATATTACACAAGAAGGAGATGAGATACAAGGGATTCTTATTTCTGCCCAAGGTGAAAAAAAAAAAAAATTCAAAATATTAATGGTCCGCTTAAAACAGATGAATTGTTTCAAGTCATCACTGGAATCTCTGGGCAAACAAACAACTGGCTTTTAATGGCAGAACAAGCAGCTAAAACAGTGTCTAATGATTGTCTTGTGTGTATGGGAGCTAGACCGCTGTTACGTGTGGTTCCTGCTACCATAACTCCTCAATGTCTTCTAAATATAATGAATTATACGGTCCCAACTGATAATTGCACCTATTGGGATAACATCTATCCCCTGACCACAGCTGAGAAAAAGAAACCAATCTTTTTGAAAAAAGTAGCTGTGGCAAATTTCACCTGTGTAAACAGGACCGGAGCGGGCCCGAAACCAGGCACACTAAATGAAACACAATGTGCAAGTATTTTACTGGTATCCATTTTTTTTCTAAAACCTCAATTCCGCAGCGACATCTGGTGGTGGTGTGGAGATAAAAAATTGTTTGACAGTCTTCCATGTAACATCACTGGATTATGTGCTGCTGTCACCTTGATTTTACCTGTTTCTGTTACATCACTCACAACGGATGAATTGTTGACAACTGCAAACAGCATTTTACCTCACACAGAGCATACTAGAAGGAGGAGGGCATCTGAAAATGCATGGAGTGGAGATGACCCTACTTATATTGATAGCATTGGTGTACCCAGAGTTGTTCCTGATGAGTATAAACTAGCCAATCAAGTTTCTGCAGGATTTGAATCTTTCTTATGCTGGTGGTGTACTCTAAATAAAAATGTAGACAGAATCAACTATATCCATTATAACGTCCAGAGGCTGGGAAATAAAACAGAACAAGGCTTCTCCGCCGTCCATGAACAATTGTCAGCTACCTCTCTGATGGCTTTCCAGAACCGTATTGCTGTTGACATGTTGTTAGCTGAAAAAGGTGGTGTGTGCTCTATTTTTGGAGATCAGTGTTGCACCTTTATTCCCAACAACACCGCTGCAGATGGCAGCCTCACGAAGGCCCTTGAAGGCCTTCGCTCTCTTAACAGCAAAATGAAAGACCATTCTGGAGTTGACACAAAAATGTGGGATGGATTTGGAGACATTTTTGGTAAATACAAACAATTGGTGCTTTCTATTTTAATGTCTATAGCTGTATTTGCCGCCATCTTGACCTTATGTGGATGTTGTTGTATTCCATGTATTAGAGCGCTGCTAAATAGACTAATTACCACAGCAATACAACCCATGAAAGCAGAAATGTATGCCCTCATGCCCACTGAAAAATACCCATCTGATGATGAAGACAGCGCAGAGGATGAAATCTCTTTGCATTTTCCTGACTTTTATCCTAATTCCAATGATATTACCAGTAACCCACCAGTTTAAAGTACCTCTGAGTGTACTCTTTACAGCTAAAACATGATTTCATAGTTGAAAATCTGAAAAGTGACTACTGAATGATAAAATAAATAGCTTAAAGTGAATAAACAAGGGGGAAATGTTGGATTAATTGTACAAGTTATTCTACTTTAATCATATTACTTTAATCATATTATTATGCTTACACACTGAGATCATATTATTATGCTCACACATTTTGTTATCCTTATTTCACTTATATCATAAAGAGTGTTGAAGTATTTTACTTGTTTGTTCTGTACTAATGTTTTAAGTCTGTGCAGATGGAGTGCTGAATGAGAGAGCTGGCTGCTCAAGGTCAGCAAGGAGAAAACACGGGGAAATGCACTCACTAACACCGGAGAAAGGAGTGAAAGTTCTTATCTCATGATACTGTATGATGTTTTGCAGACTTCTGGTTCCGACTGGGTTTCACCCCTCCCTTTTAGCAGTCGGAACCAACATTGTAGTTAGGGAGTTCCTTAATAAAGGCTTGTGAGAGCGGAGCTGTTTCAGAGTGGTTTTGGAGAATTGTAACTGAACAGTCTCTGATCACTCTCCTTGCAAGTAAATCATACTAAAATTCTCTGTGTCTTTCTTTGTACAGGTTACTGCATAAAATGTTTGGTGTTTAAACCTAACAATATTTTTAATTATGATATTGTTGTCTTCTCCTGTGCGTTTTGTTTTTTATTAATGCACATCATGTGCATATCTTTTCAGACAGACACAGTGACAAAAATATTTGCCAAAGTTCCAAGGCCAATTCCCCCCTGATGGGAGACAGTGGTACCCTATGTACATTTCAAACTATCCACTGCGTTATCGCAGTTTCTCAGCAGAGGATGATACACCCTCCCTTCTGAGAGTTTGTCCATCAACTGTTCATATGTTCACAACCATGTTATACTCATCCAAATGTCATATGTCATGATGAATCATATGCCACAATCACTTTGCTGATGTTCCCCTCTTTAAATATCTAAATCGCTGTTATCCTTTACCTCATTGTTACCCTATTACCCCATCGTTTCACAAAAGTATCTTATTACCTCATTAGATATCTGTAACTTGAAGGACTTAATACTTCTTGCTCTTTTGTAAAGGGACTTATACCAAAACCTTCTGACTCTGATACACCCTTTTTGATCTTTTTTTTATCCCCCTATTCTTTTCTAAAAAGTCTCAGCAGGATGTGTTTAATGAAAAAAAACACTGCAGCCTGTGTTCATGCCTGTTGTATGTAATCCCAGCAGAAGCGTTAGAAAACACACGGTAACACAAGGACAATATTGAATTTTTGTGTTTGAAAAGCTGTTTGTGTTTACTTTATAGGTTCAGACATGGTCTTTCAGCCCTTCAGTTCTTGACTGCACTACAGCAACACCCTACTTTGCTGACCCCTGTCCTGTGCCACAATGAAAAGCGACTTACTTGCTATGAACTCGAGAGACTCTTCAAACCTACGCTCAGTCCTTCCGGGAGCAACAGGAGATTAAAAGAAAATAAAACCATGGCCTATTGGGCAGACTATCTCCTTGATTGTGAAGGTTTGCTAATATTTTTTTTTTTATCTATTGGGAAAACCATATTACTCTTGTTTACCTGAACATTTATTTATTTGCAGAAGGTGAGACTGCTGCATCTGTGGAAAACATTTTCATTTTTAACATGTTTGCAACTGGGCTGACGTCACTTCCCCCATCTGGCTTCGAACCATCGCCACGGATCGAGTTCCTGGAAGACTCTCCGTTCCCAATGGCAAACACATGTGCAAACGTGCTGAAACTACCAATGCTGGAGTCATACAGTTTGTTTAAGTCCCAAATGGACTTTGGAATTCAAAATAGCCCAGGATTTGGCTGCCTATAAATCAGAACTGGATGGCTGCTAGAGCTTAGACTCTTAGAAACTTGATCGTTATTATTGATTCACTTAAAATCAAAGAGTTTTGTTTAAAAAGTATTCATGAAGTATTCAAGAATATAAAATGTGGTGTTTGAGGTTAGCTTTTCCCCCCAGTAAACATTTTGACAATTTTTCTTTAAAAACTTTTTTTTTTCCATTTATTTCCCACTTTGAAAATTGAAGCTGTGGCTTACAAATTGTAAACATGTTCCAGTCAGTTGGTTTTTGAGGATAGCTTTTCCCCCCAGTAAACATTTTGACAATTTTTCTTTAAAAACTTTTTTTTCCATTTATTTCCCACTTTGAAAATTGAAGCTGTGGCTTACAAATTGTAAACATGTTCCAGTCAGTTTTTGTAAATGTTTCACCAACATCACAATAAAGCTTTTTTCAATTCATAGCTGAGCAATTTCTTTTAGTTTCAGATATAGTTTAGTTGAAGACTGCCAGTTTTCTGGTTTCTGTAAATCATTGGTCTCCATGGCAAAGTCCAAGTATTCCTGCATGCATGGGTCCCCACATGGAGCTGTTGTCAGGTGAGCCTCGGGAAAATGGATCCAGTTCAGTCTGTTCAACTTTAAATCCACAATCTCTGGAGCCAAACCTACAAAACAAGATATTATTTATTTGAATTTAAGATAAATGGAAAATAAATGCTATCACCAAACTTATTACCTGTGTGGTAAGTAATAGAGCTCATTGGGTACTCCTCCTGGACATGATGCTGTTCTGGAGGGGCGTATCCTGTGACTGTTCCACAGTTTGATACACTCATTTAGGTCCCTCTGTATAACATCACCAAAGCAATGTCTGAGCAGACACTGATGCTCGTGACTCCCGTTGAAGTATCCGGCATCTCTAAGGTCTGCAAATAGCTCCATCCAGAACTGAGACCTATGGGAATAGATAAAATTGTGTTGTGATTCTAAGCACATCCATGTTTGAATTGTTCTAATTAAATTACTTTATGAAAACCACTTGCCTTCCTTTTCTGAATATGGACCACCAGGACTCAATCCTCTGGTTGGTTGTGGATGAGCCATACATGTGGCTGGCTGCTCCAGAGTAGTAGTCATTGTGATAATGGCGTAGGGTGCACTGAATTGCAGCCATGGTCCCATTCTCCGTCCCGCAATCAGTTCTTAGTCTCATTGGGATAACACCAAGGTTCCCCACACATGACAGGAAATAGTGAGCAATGACAGCTGGGTCATTATTTGTTGGTCCACATAGAAGCCATAACACTTTACGAGAAAAGCCATCGATACACCCTGAAATAGCCAAACCGAATGGCTTGAGTTTATCATAACCATCCACATGCCACATATAGTTCGGTCCCATAGAGTGGTAGGTTCTCCTTATAAACCTTCTGCGTGCTCTCCTCTCGCACCCTTGAGGATTGAGCTCCCGTAGCAAATTCATTATATGTTCCCGCTTCACTCGTAGTGAAGCGGGAACATATAATGGTATAATGGCAGGTACTTTTGTTTAAGTACCTGCCACATCGTGCGGTATCCAAACAGCTGTCCGGGTCCACGGAGCTCCTGTCTTATTGCCCTAATTATTACATTTCTTGAAGAGAAATTCTTTCTACGATAATAGCCGGCATTATTCAGTTTGCTTTTCAGAGACCTCAAGCTGATGTGTACACCATGTAAACATGACATCATGTCTACGATTACAGCGTAAGAGTGACCCTCATTAAAATAATGTATGCACTGCTGCAGCATATCCGGTTCTTCCGTCTGTTCGGTACCATTTAAAAACTCCAAGGACCGACCGCAGGAAAAACAAAACCGCGTTAAACTGCTCATATGCATCCGAGTGCCGCAGAACGGGCAAAACACAACTCTATTCGCTTCCATCTTGGGTCATCATGAACGCTCCGGTTATCACTTCCGGGTAAGCTTCGAAGACAGTCCCTCCCTTTCCGTAAGATTTTGTCAGTTGTAATTTTGTTTTCTGAAATGTAAATTTGTTTTATGATTTGTAAAAGTGTTTCGTTTGTTGTAATTTTGTTTTCTGAAATGTAAATTTGTTTTATGATTTGTAAAAGTGTTTCGTTTGTTGTAAATTTGTTTTCTGAAATGTAAATTTGTTTTATGATTTGTAAAAGTGTTTCGTTTGTTGTAAATTTGTTTTCTGAAATGTAAATTTGTTTTATGATTTGTAAAAGTGTTTCGTTTGTTGTAAATTTGTTTTCTGAAATGTAAATTTGTTTCAAGATTTGTAAAAGTGTTTCAGATTTTGTATTGTTGTTTCAGATTTTGTATTGTTGGTTTGCACTTCTAGGCCACCGTATTAAACTGAGGAAAATAGAATCTATAACTGGTTAGATCACTTTTAACAGAGCAGGTAATACAGGGAAGAGTTGGTA